CTAAAACCGGTCCGCTTTCTGTGTTTTTCACTGAAAAACGATATAGGAGTATTAATACAGGCTGTATAAGAAACTATATTAGAAATTCTATAACCCTCCGGGTTTGTTGAATATCCGAATTAAGGTGCTTAACTCGGATTTTTGCAGTTCGGTGAAGGGTCACTACAGTGCAGCACTGTCGAGCCCCCCACAGATTACTATCTTATTTTTTGTACAAAAAAAGGGATACAAAACTTGTTAACGATACCCAACAGTCGACTGTCGTTGTCGTTGAGCCCATTCTTGTTGCTCCTTGTACTGCTTGCCGGATCAGTCTTCTCCCAAGACCCCTCCGGATTGAGCGCAAATCAGCAGACCCTTGCGGATTGAGCGCAAATTAATATTAACGTGCTTAAATACTCGAAAAACCCTATTGTACAAGCCTCACAAACGGGCTACAAAAGATCGTAACAATCCGGATTGATATAAATGCCTGCAACAACAATATGTCTATTAACAAAAAACGGGAGGGTCGGATCACATCTTGTCTGGGGGAATGATTTCTACTGATTTTTTAATTTTTTACTGTTTTTTTTTGTTTTTTTTCGGTTATTTTTTGATATTTTTTGTTTTTCTTGGGTACAATACTACTTTTTGTTTGGTTTTGTATATATCTTGAAGCGTTTTTGGTCACAAACCTCTCAGGGAACGAGGGGACGGCCAATCACCCCACCCTTCCTTGAACGTGAATTTTCGGTCTTAACTAGGTTAAAAAGCTATTCACGGTAATCCGGAAGGCTTTCGGGTTCCGAACTACCCTTCCGCCCTGGCGGTTAGGGCATATTAAGTGCGTTAATATGAGCATTATGATGTTAAAAAAGAATAACACTCAGGAGCTCCATAAAAACATCTATGTTACATTCGCCCGGAAGTACATATCGACGGAAAATAAAATTAGGTTCTAAGACGACTGGCCAGCGTCTAAACAGAGCTCTACATGCTTTTCACCGTCTCTGCCAAGCCTAGCTCTTTTGGTGGTCTTTCTAACATCGGGTCGACAAAAACGTTACTGTTCTCCGGCTTCGACCAGAACGCTCAAATTAACTTAATTACATGCAAAATTTGTGAGCTCATGGCTGGGGTCTCAGTATCCCCAGACCACGAGGTCACTCCTAAAAATAGGGCTACTACTACTTATTATATAATTGTTGTTTTTGTTCAGTAGATAAAAATCATCATCTCCATTGAAGATGGATCAACCCTTTCCCCCAACTCCTAGCTTCTCATCGTCGTAAAATGAATTCAGATGTTAAATAAATTCAATTCCAGACATAACCGGGAAGCTAAAAGTTTATATAAAATGATACAAGTTCCAGTCCCGAGACTCCTCCGGATTCTTGAATCCGGGGAAATAACAACCTTATCTTCCTTCCGGAGGGCTGCTTTCCCACCCTTCACCGTTGTTGTGAACGGCCTTGCAACGATTGTAGCGGCACAATCGTTGCAACTCGGAACGGTCTCTGCTAACTCTGCTGTTTTCTTCGATTCCGATATTTATTTTCTCGTAGTTATCTTCGTCGCAACTATTGTTGTTCTGAATTTTTCTGGTTTTCCAAAATGGCGGTTTTTGCCGTTTCTCGGAAGTGCGACTTCTCAATTCGAATTTTTAAAATTTCAAAATGCCAGAATATCTTGACCTTCACCGTTTTACTAATCGTCCCAATAACGTCACTAATCTCTTAAAACTGTCAATTCGGAAGGTTAGCTGCTAACAATTCGAAATCGCCGAATCCGCATTTTCGCTCATTCTGGTCGAATATCACAACTCTCAAAAATACCTAATTGCAAGATCCATTTGATAATAGGTAAACCCACTAGTCAACAATAGTTCAACTCAGCTAAACTTTATGAAAGGGCCAAACAGTAGTTTCAACCTCATAGGAGATTAGTCCGGTTCTGAAAATGCCGGTTTTCATGATATATATATTTTTTCTCTTATGAGAGAGGTGAAAAATGATTATGCCATTTGGAGCATTTTGAACAAAAAGACTGAATTATTCAATGTGATTATTTTTCCAAATTTGATTGTCGTATAATTTCACGTCGTTAGAAAGATTATAACAGATAACGAAAATTGGTGTTTTCCAACCTTTATTTACCTTTCCTTTCCAAACGGATCAGCAGCAGGTCCTGATAAAATAGTTCCTCAAATTTTTAAAGATCTTTTTAGTAAGTCGAATGGCAGTGCAGGACTTAATTTTCTGAAATCGCTTACTAAGCTGATAAACCTCATTGGAGATGGCAAAATACCCGAACCACTAAAACCTTTCTTTTTTGGCGCAAAGCTTATCGCCCTCATAAAGATAGACGGAGGGTTGAGACCGGTGCCGTAGGCAACACGCTGAGACGTATCGCGTCTAAATACGCTGGAAGCAAGGCCCTCTCCGAGCGACAAAATTTTTTTGGAAACGTACAGGTAGGATGCGGTACCAAACGAGGAGCAGAAATAGCTGCGCACTCGTTTCGAAACCTAATTGAACGCGACGACAATCCAAAATGCACTGTTCTTTTAAAACTAGATTTTAAGAATGCCTTTAACTCTTTAAACAGAGAAACAATGCTGAATCATGTTTATTCAAATCGCCCTGGATTGTATAATTACACCCATTGCGCGTATGGTAAACCCAGTTACCTTTTAAACGGAAGCTCTGTCATAATGTCAGAAGACGGAATTCAGCAAGGTGATCCTGAAGCCCCACCCCTTTTTGCGGAAACAATTCATACACTAGTCAAACAGTTGGAGTCGAAAATTAACATCTGGTGTTTAGATGATGGGAATTTAGCAGACGACTATAAGGTAGTAGTCCGGGACCTTAAAAACATTCTGAAATCGGAACAAATTTACGGCCTGAGCTTAAACAATGAGAAGTGTGAACTTTGTTTTTTGCGACCGACTACTAGTACACAGTTTAATTCAATTTTAACACAATTTCGAAAAATATGCCCCAAAATAAAAATAAAAACAAAAGAAGAACTCCTCATTTTAGAATCTCCAATCGGCGAACTTTGCCGAAAAGAATTGCTCGACGAAAAAATTAAGGAGCTTGAAAAAATCTCGGATGTCATTGACAAACTAGACGCCCATTATGGTTTTTACCTCCTGAAAAATTGCTTTAGCATGCCAAAACTCCTATATTTTTTGCGTACGAGCCCTTGTTTTTTGCACAATGATGTTTTGGAACGTTACGATAAATTACTAAGAAATTCGTTATGCAAGGTCACTAATGTGAAAATGGATGATAACCAGTTTTTAAAAGCAGTTCTCCCGGCAGCCAAAGGTGGCTTGGGCGTTTCTTCCGCTCATCTACTCGCTTTACCCGCTTTCTTAGCCTCAGCAGTAGGAGCAAAAGATGCCTCGAGCGAAATCTTTGGTTTCGAGCATGTGGATGGAAACTATGATGATGCGCTTAATCGGTGGTTTGACCTTGGAAAAATTGAAATGGCTCCGGAAAATGAAATCCAAAAAAATTGGACGGAGCCAATTTTTGACAGCGAAATTGCAGACTTGATTTTATGACTCGAACCAACGGACGTAAAAAAAGGTTCAACGCGTTCCAAGATAGATTTGGCTACCAATGGTTGAACGTCATCCCGTGCAAAAATTTAAGGTTAAAACTGTCGAACCAACAACTCAGAATTGCGATAGGACTTCGATTAGGATCAAAAATATGCGAACGGCATAAATGCGTGTGCGGAAAAGACGTTACCGAGGATGGTTGGCATGGTCTTTCTTGCCTCAAAAGTGCAGGGAGATTCTCTAGGCATTCAAACCTGAATGCTCTTATAAAGCAGAGTCTATCATCTACTCACATTCCGTCTGTTTTAGAACCACGACACCTCTACAGGACCGATCAGAAGCGACCAGACGGTTTGACGCTCGTTCCATGGGCTGATGGTAAGCAGCTCTTGTGGGATGTAACGGTAGTAGACTCCTTAGCTCCTTGTAGGATTAATGCCGGGTCTGTTTGTAACCCTGGTACGGCTGCCGCTGAAGCGGAAGAGCGAAAAATTGACAAGTATAAAGATCTTGTAAATCATAGATATCTTTTCCAACCGCTAGCTTTTGAAATTCAGGGCGCGGCCGGTCCCAGCAGAGAAGTTTTTTTGAGCAAGCTTTGTAAGAACCTAAGCATATGCACTGAGGAACCCAGATCAGGCAGCTTTTTAAAACAGAATCTCCCTGGCAGTACAGATTGCGAACGCCGCTTGCGTACTCGGAACAATAAATGACAAAATAACTTTCGACGAAATTTTTTACTTGTAACACTTGTATATTATATTATCTCGTGTCGAGTTGCGTGTTCTTATTGAAGAAACGTAACCCGTATCGATTTTAATTGAAAAGGACTTAAACACTTGTCATCTTCTTTTATCATGATCACTTCCATATCTAAAAAATTCCAAGGATTTTGACTGGAATACATGATGAAGGGACTCATGACTGTAACCTCGGTTACTATGATACTTTTGACCTTCTGATTATCATGGTAATTGAGAAAAAAAATATTGATTTTTCATAGTTATTATTTGAGATCATTTGCTACGGAAAACCCAAATCCAAAATGATCCATAAAATTAAGTATTCTAGAGTTTGAAAACGTGATACCGCTTTCATTTTGTCCTCTAGTGTGTATCAGGGCTCTTTTCCAGTTTTCCACCCTCGTAAAGTTTCAAAATAAAGCTGTTCAAAAATCGTTCACACGGCATTTTGCATGTAAGAAATGTTGTGAATTTTTTTCAACTGTTCACGCTGACACGTTTAAATGCAGTTTATAACATGAAAAGTCATTTGAAATAAGTTTTCATATATTAATTTTCCAACAAAATCAAAGGGGGGCTGGAAAAGAGCTTATGTTGGTTAAACTTGAACTTGTACTAGCTATGAACACTTCATTTTAAATCTTGATTTCTAACCAAAAGTGTTTTCTTATGATATAAAACTTTTCCATAAACGAAGTTTCAGGTTGAGGATGCTTGCGGTGGAATGGATGAGAATCATTCGTACAGAGATTTTCAAAACGAGTTAGCAAATTCCGTATCAATAACTACCGAGATCAACCGGTTCGAAGCTGTTCATCCTCACATTTACAAATGCTACGATCTGCTTCAACGTGTAGATGATGCGGCTATCCGTGAAAGTATTCAAAATTGCCTGCTATCCATTGAAGGTGGGTTTGGATAATTGGACAAATTACGCATTAAAGCAATAAATCAGAATTAGTAAAGTGAATTAACGCTGTCGTATGCTTGAAAGATGCTCTGGAAGCAGAGCTCAAAAATAAACTATCTGTTTTAGCCATTAATTGACAATGTCTTTGCTTTAGAATCGTTTGTGAACAGCCAGGAGTGGACCCTAAGTAAATTCGTCCCTGAAATACGACTTGTTAGTTTGTAATTCTGGTTTATTAGAGACTTTTTGGTCTTTCTGCACCCCTACCTCTACCTTGTCTAAATATCAGTTTTATGATTTAGCCAATTGTACAAGGGTGTACTTCGGGCCAAGTATGCAAATATTTAGCTACTTAATTAGCACACATGCTATCGATTCAATTTTTATGACTTGCAATTCTACCGAATTATTTATTTATGAAATTTCTCTCTGACGGGGGTTGGGAAGAGCCTCTAGTTGAATGTGAATTCATTTGAAAAAAAAACGTTAACTGATATTTCGCAGGGTGTACTTGGGAGTTCTAACAGTGGAAAAAGTGCTCTTGTTCATAGATATTTGACAGGAACATATCTACACGAAGAATCACCTGATGGTAATTTCATTTAAAGACTGAAGAATTTTTGTCTAAGCTTACCGCATGTTTCATCGATTGCTGATATTCAGGAGGACGCTTCAAGAAAGAAGTGTTTGTTGACAGCCAAAGTGTTCTCATGCTTATTAGAGACGAAGCACCAGGGCCGGAATTGCAGGTATTGTTATACACATCTAAAACAAAAGCAGGTGGCACGAATCATCATTAGATGCTCTTTACTTAAAAATTTCCCATTCACCGGGAAAAACGCTATAAATCTTTTTTAGTTTGCCCTTTGGATAGATGCTGTTGTGTTTGTATTTGGACTCCATGACAAAGAAAGCTTCAACACTGTTCTTGAGTACTACCAGAAGCTATCATTTTACCGATTGCTCAAAGATGTGCCCGTCATATTAGTGGGAACTCAAGACTACCTGTCGGACGAAGTCCCAAGGGCAGTGGATGACGCGAGTGTCAGAAAATTAGGAGCTGAAATCAACAAGTGCGCCTACTTTGAGACATGTGCTTCTTATGGCCTGAATGTGGAAAGAGTGTTCAATGAAGGTCCGTAAAATAATTACACAAGCAAGTTCTCCGCCGTATTGATATGCTCAGTGTTTTTTTTTTCAATTAAAGTTGCCTATTTAAGTGCACTAAAATTATCTGATCTTAATCTTATATATATATATCAAGGCTAGACAATGCCTGTTCATTTTTTTCTCCTAAATTTTGCCTTTTCAGATCAATTTCTTTCTGAAAGTTTCATCGCCTGAATAGCTTACTTAGAAAAACTGAAACATCTCGCCAGTCGATTTGCTCTGTGAAACAACTTGACATATTTCAAAGTTTCATCGCATGACTAGCGTTCTCAGAAAAACTTTAATTTTATGCCAAGCGAATCGCTCAATGAAGTAACTTGGAATATTTAAAAGTTTCAGAGCTCGAATCGCTTACTGAGAAAAACTGAAGCTTTTCGCAGAACGATTCGGTCTATGAAATAGCTTGAAATGTTTCTTAAAAATTTGGAAGAAAATAGCTTGAAAGTTTCAGAGCTGGAATAGCTTGCATGCAAAAAAATATATGTTTTTGTTGCGATTCGATTCGGTGTTATAAATAACTTGCCATCTATCAAGTTTTCATAACTAGAGTAGCTTGCTAAGAAAAACTTAAAATTTTTGCGAAACGATTCGATCAATGAATTGTTTTTTAATTCAATTCATATTAAAATTTTTAAGAACTTTAAAAAGAATTAAATTTTCGTTACTGGAATAGTTTGCTTAGAAAGTCTTGTACTTTTCGCTAACCGATTCAGTGTTTTAAATAACTTGAAATATTGCATAGTTTCATAGCTGGAATAGCTTGCTCAAAAAAGGAGAACCGATTCATTCTATGGAATAAGTTAAAGTTTTTGTCAAAGTTTCATCGGTTAAGTGGCTCTAAAATAATCTAAACCTACCGATTCCCTTCAGGAAATAATTTGAAATATTTCAGAGAATCATACTTTGAATAGCTTGTTCAGAAAGAGTTGATTTTTTCGAAAAACGATTTGGTCTATGAAATAATTTGATTTTTCCAAGATTCGTCGGTCGAATATAAAAACCTAATTTTTCGCTATCCGATTTCGAAGTTTTATAGCTGGACCAGCTGGTGTAAAAAAACTTCATTTTTTCGCGGACCGATTCGGTCGTTGAAATTTAAATTTTTTCAAACCAATTTACGATATGGGTTAACTTGAAATGGTTTTGAGTTTCATAGCTTGATAAAAGCACGTACTACTTTTTGTGAGACAATTGGTTGTTGGAGACAAGCTCGCTAGTGCGTTATTTAAGCAGTATATCTAGATATATCACTTTCATTGAAGCGCATTCTTTGCTGCCTTATGTCTTAAAACGAAGTAAGAGTGAGGTTGGTAGAAGCCGGCCAGGTAGGGCTCTCGAGCGTGAAGTCTTAGTTTGAATCCCTTAGTTCCAATATTATAATTATTTTTGTCGTTTTTTAGAGCTCTCTTTTGCCATAATTTCGCTTGTGCGTGCAGCTTCGCCTTTATGTACGTATTTACACTAGCGTCAGCTTAGTCTGTCATTACGAACCTTCTTTTTTTCGAACCTAACTCCCAAATAAAAGTGTTCATTGAAAGTGTTCACTTATTTGGAAGTTTCAATGTAGTATTGGAAATTCCATAGCATCTGTTCTCTGCTTTATATGTGGCTACTGTTTAATCCTCTATCCATGTACTAATATGCTTCCGTGGCTGAGTGGTTAGTGTGTGTGATTCTTAATCTCAAGGTCGCATGTTCGAATCTCAGACGTAGTCGAACTTTCGCTAATTGGAGGCTTATTTATACTTCCTTGTAATTATACTTTTTAAAGCTGCTTTTTGTCGTATTCTCGCTAGTGTTTGCGAAGCTTTGCCTCTGTGTTGTATTAAGTGTTTATGAAGAAATTCATTACTTTTTTTGGTTTAGATCGGTTGGTTTTCAAGTATTAAAAATTGAAGGCGATTTTTCCAGAAGGTGTTAAGTTTGATAAGGCTCGAATTTGATTGTTCGCGGTTTAGTGTTTGTAATCATTTTAAGATCAGTTTGAATAAATTTGTTTAATGGAAAACACGTTGCACTCTCCTTAACCATAAAAGCTAATGGCGCGAAAATAACTTAAAAATGGATTTAAATTTTCAGAATTCCCTGCGGATTGAAAAAATAATTATTGACGCGGTATTTTCTAACGGGGTTAGTTTTCTGAAGAAAGTGTTGATCGTAAAAGTTTCTTGAAATTCAAAGTGATTTTGAATGAATTGTTTTGTGATATATACTTTTATATATAAGGGCTGAGGGCGTTTTATCTTGTTATCTGCCATTTTGTTTTGAAGTGTGTAGTTTGCTGTCCATTTAGCAATTCTGTTGCCTAATCATTACAATTTCCATTTAGAGTACGAAGGCCACTTGACAATGAATACAAAGTCAAGCCATCAAAACAAAATTGAAATTTTGTTAAGAAAAGCATGATTGAACAGATTTGTGTTTTGGAACAAATATAGCTTAAAAAAGCTACATATATCACTATCACTACAAATTTTAAGATTTTTTTTTGTAATGCACTTTCTACATAAAACTAAAACAGTTGGAGAAAACAGAGTCAATAAGTTCTTTAAAAAACCGCTGATAATTCTGAAAAGGGAGTTGTCAAAAAAAAAGTTACCCACTTTTTTTTCGATTCATCTGTGCCTATGTTATTGGAGAGTGCATGTGATTTTTTTTTTAGCTAACGAAATTTAATTGATCTTGAAAGAAAAACAAAAGTTAAATCGCGAACAGCAAAATTTGAGTGTGAACAAACTTAATTTTTTTTTCTGGAAGCAAATCAACACGACATATAAAAGTCTTCACTGGGTTCTTTGATGCTTAGAAAATGACAGTGTGTTTAAACATTTTTAGGCTTCAGAGTTTCAACAATATAAAGAACTCAAACAGCTCTGAGTTTCAAGAATATTTTATAATCGACACTTTTTTCGACTAAGCTAAGTTTTTGAGAAAACTGGATCAATAGATTCAATCATCTCCATGCATTTTAAGCAGATGAGTTAAAATTTTAGATATTGATTTGGCAGTTTCAAAAAGTTAGCATCATGAGAAAAAAGCCTAATTTATTTTTTTTGAAATACCTTAGTTTTTTTTAAGTGAAATCGGTAAATTTTGAAATACACAGCCTTTTTTCAGGTGTCAATGAAATAGTAGAGACACTTATATGCCGTTTTAACTTGTTTCAAGAAAAGTGTTAACGTTTTTCTGGCTCGAATTTTTCGGGGCTTGGCTTTTGATGTACTTCTTTGTTATCAATTCAAATTTATTTGCTGAAGACGAAGTCTTAAAATCGGTTGAAGCGCGAATGCTTTAACTCGACGCATTTCATAATATCGCAACGCAATTTAAGATTTTATTATCTTTGTTTTTACACTAGCGTCAGCTTTGTGTGTCAGCTTAGTTTGTTATTACGAACCTTCTTTTTTTTCTAAGCAAACTCGCTAATAAAAGTGTTCACTTATTTGGAAGTTTCACGGTAGCATTGGAAATTGCATAGCATCTGTTCTCTGCTTTATATGTGGCTGTGTTTAATCTTCTATGTACTAATAAGCTTCCGTGGCTGAGTGGTTAGTGTGCGTGATTCTTAATCTCAAGGTCACAGGTTTGAATCTCAGCCGTAGCCGATTTTTTGCTAACTCGAGGCTTATTCATATTTTTTCTTATTGTACTTTATAAAGCTGCCTTTTGTCGTGTTGTCACTAGTGTTTTGCGAAGCAAAGCTTTGCCTCTGTAGAAAACTTGAATTTAGCAATAACTCTATAGTGCGAACATGGCACCGATTTACAATTGCGGAATATTTTTAGTTCTCTGGATATGAGAATTTTTATTTAAATTTCAACATTTTTCAAAACCTAGAAACTCTTTCAAATTTAAGGAAATTAATTACGTTTGATTGAACGATTGAAGGCAGCCGATAATTTACATTCGTGCTAATTATTTAAGAATTTCATTTATGAAATGAAGGCGTTTGAAGTTTTTTGATATGGAAATTTCTTGGTTTTGATATCCAAACCAAGAAATTCTTTCAAATTTTGATATATTTTGTTCATAAGGTGTTTTACGTGCATCAATCTGTGCGATCAGAGGTGCTATTTGTTTTTGAGATTCAAAGAGTTTTAAAGCCATATATATTTTGTATTTGAAAGGTTAAATTTTTTCAAAAAAACTAGTCAGATTTTTTTGTTTCATTGCCTCAACATGTATTTTCCAACAGTCTGCCGGCCATGTTTTACAGTCCTGTCGCAGCTGTATGAAAAATATCTATAGAATGAATTAGTTTTATGTGAGATAATGTTACCACTTTTGGGGCACCTACAAGTTTTTCATAGCATGTGCTTTGACATTCGATTAATAACAAGAAGTTAACACAGTTGCATTTCAAGTTAACTCGACGCATTTCATAATATCGCAACGCAATTTAAGATTTTATTATCTTTGTTTTTACACTAGCGTCAGCTTTGTGTGTCAGCTTAGTTTGTTATTACGAACCTTCTTTTTTTTCTAAGCAAACTCGCTAATAAAAGTGTTCACTTATTTGGAAGTTTCACGGTAGCATTGGAAATTGCATAGCATCTGTTCTCTGCTTTATATGTGGCTGTGTTTAATCTTCTATGTACTAATAAGCTTCCGTGGCTGAGTGGTTAGTGTGCGTGATTCTTAATCTCAAGGTCACAGGTTTGAATCTCAGCCGTAGCCGATTTTTTGCTAACTCGAGGCTTATTCATATTTTTTCTTATTGTACTTTATAAAGCTGCCTTTTGTCGTGTTGTCACTAGTGTTTTGCGAAGCAAAGCTTTGCCTCTGTAGAAAACTTGAATTTAGCAATAACTCTATAGTGCGGTATAGTGAAGAGTGGAAACCGTTTGCGTGATTTGAAAAAAAATCAGTAAAATACGTCTAAAAATTTTGATACCATCGACCTTTTGGTTGGGTAATGTCAGAATACTCACAGAAGTTGCAGATGTGGCCTTCAACATAATAAGGCTGCTCGTTTTTTTTTGCTTTCCGTGATATGCTACTTTTTAAAATGATTTTTCAAAAGTGAACAAATAAAATTAATTTCACGAAGATACGGTTAGAGGCATGTCAAACTACTCACAGGTGTTGCAAACATGGCACCGATTTACAATTGCGGAATATTTTTAGTTCTCTGGATATGAGAATTTTTATTTAAATTTCAACATTTTTCAAAACCTAGAAACTCTTTCAAATTTAAGGAAATTAATTACGTTTGATTGAACGATTGAAGGCAGCCGATAATTTACATTCGTGCTAATTATTTAAGAATTTCATTTATGAAATGAAGGCGTTTGAAGTTTTTTGATATGGAAATTTCTTGGTTTTGATATCCAAACCAAGAAATTCTTTCAAATTTTGATATATTTTGTTCATAAGGTGTTTTACGTGCATCAATCTGTGCGATCAGAGGTGCTATTTGTTTTTGAGATTCAAAGAGTTTTAAAGCCATATATATTTTGTATTTGAAAGGTTAAATTTTTTCAAAAAAACTAGTCAGATTTTTTTGTTTCATTGCCTCAACATGTATTTTCCAACAGTCTGCCGGCCATGTTTTACAGTCCTGTCGCAGCTGTATGAAAAATATCTATAGAATGAATTAGTTTTATGTGAGATAATGTTACCACTTTTGGGGCACCTACAAGTTTTTCATAGCATGTGCTTTGACATTCGATTAATAACAAGAAGTTAACACAGTTGATGCATATCTCATTGTTCAAATGAATCGAAAAATCTACTTGCTTCAAATATCAGTGCAATAAGAAAAACTCGATTTCCGAAATTTTCCAACTCAATATATCGCGCAATATTTATACATAATTATACATATTTTGGCTTTATGCTTTCGAATTAATTAATGCAAAGTTTGCGTGGATGCCTTCAGTTTGTTATATTCCAAATTATTACCTGCCAAATTGTGTCGATTTGTATTTGTTGCCACTTTTGCTTCATCGAATTGGCAATTTATTAGCATTTGTAGCTGCTTGATTCTCGTGACTAGTGTTTGTCGGTTGTTAAGTGTTCGTTAGACGCCAAAACTCGAGGGCGCAATTTCGAATCCGATACGTAGCAAAGTTCTACTGATTCGAGGCTTATTTCTATTTTTTCTCATTTCACTTTATAAAGCTGTTTTTTTGTTGTGTTCTTGCTTTTATTGACTTCTAGAGTTTTAAACCCACTTCCAAATTGATTTTTTTTTTCAAATTCGTGTTTAATGTGTTTTGTTACATGACATATTTTGTCTTAGTAGACATTCAGTTTTATCTTCTTAATTTATCTGATGTTTGAACACAGTGAAAAAGCAAGCAATGAATGTTTTAATACACGCGCGGTTAAAAGCTTACTTTACATAAAGCATTTTCAGTTGATTTTAAATTAGCTAGTTTTTGTTTAAAAAGTTTAATGAGGACTACGTGTGTGCTATAGCGGCTTCAAGAACAGTTAGTTTGAAGAGAAGTTTGAGTGGTTTGGCCAATACGACAATCTACAACACGAATGCCTCCTCGAATTCAGCCAGCAGTCCGCAGCACTTCTTTGCTCATAGTTTGAACAACTCGAACGCGTCAGGGTTGAACCAGAACAACAAAAACCACTCGACCTCTTCGCTGCTTCAGTCGAACAGTGGAGGTGCTTTAGGCAGCTGTGGCAGGTACGCCACTATTTGTTTGACTTCTTTCTTTTCCTATCACGTAAAGGTTGGATTCGAATTTTGGTCTGCGAGGGGAATGGTCCGTGTGTAGTAAGTGTCCAATATGTTAACTAACTAACGCCGAGTTTATGTTGAGAGCTTTTTGACTGACGTTTAAAGCATTTTTCTTTATCTTCTTGATCTGATTTGTCGTAGTAGGTACTCAGATCACAGTGGTTCGAATCATGGATCATCTACATCTCTCAACCGACTGAACACGGCATCAACTCAGCAGCTAGTGAGCGCCTATGCTATCTCAGAGACCCTGCCTGCCAATCAGCCACCACCCGTACCCCCAGCTTTACCCCCGCGTAACCTGCCGCATCGCACAACATCCAGCGCCACACTCGCAACAGGAGTCTCAACAACACCTCAGAACCTCACTCCTCAAGTGGGCAGGGGAATCAGCCAGCAGTCATATCACAGCCAACACTTGGTCAACGCAACTGCTAACTTCTCACCACATATGGTGCAACCAGGCTCACAACTTCAAATAAACAGTAACTCTCTCAACTCGAATGCCAGCAGTAATGCCAATGCAGGTAGTCTGTCGTTCGGAGGTGCAATCAAGTGCTTCCCAAATCAGCAGCCTATTCAAGCAGGGGAAAGAAGCGATTACACGGACAACGACGAACAAATGAGTAGCGGCAGCACGCCCAATGCAGGCCGAAAAAGCAGCGGCAGTACTAAACGAAAATCAAACCTCTTTTCGGTGAGTTGATAAAAAAAATCTGGAAACTCTTGAACCTCAAAATTATACAAAAAAATTGCTTGTTATTTTTGACCTGTTTTTGCCATAGTTGTCTTGGTTATTAAGTGTAAAGGAACGAAGTTGTTATTTTTTCATAGATCATTTTTTATTTAGGCAAAAAGTCTTTTAAAATTTGTTCACGCTCTAATTTGATTTTTCGTGGTTTGACTATGATTTCTGATTAAGTTCACTTCATGTACTCTAGCGAGCTTGCGAGTGTAGTGTATTATTATGAACCTTCCCTTTTCACACTTAAATCGCAGTTAAAAGTGCTCATTTGGTGGCACTACTTTTGCTTTAATCACGATTTGTTGCATTAGAACTTTCATAGCATCTGTTGTCTGCTTTATTTGTGGCTAGTGTTTGGGGATTGTTAAGCGTTGGTGGCTGAGAGGTGAACGCGTGAGGTTCGAATCCGTTGCGTTGCAGAATCTTTTTTTTCTACTGATTCTAGGTGTATTTCTATTTTTTTATCGTGTTCTCGCTAGTGTTTGCGAAGCTCAGCTTCGCCTCTGTGTAAATGAAGGCAAACTCCTCTGTCGAACTACATAAATGAAAAGGTCACGGAAAACGTGAATAAATTTAAGTTCCAAGAATGGACTATAATTTTCTGAATTTTCAACGGAATAAAAAAAAATGAGCTTCAACGTGATATATATTTTTTAACAAGTTGAAAAATGTTCAAAAAAATTCAATCATGTTCTTTTTACACTTTTCGACCTGTCTGTTGGCCATGATTTTCCATAACTATACTAACTTGCTTTTTTGGATCGATTTAACATAATTTGTTAATTAAAAATATAGCTAAGAACTAATCGATTTTCGTGTACATCTCTCATTACCGATTAACAGTCAATAATACTCATTTTGCACTCGCTAATAGAGCACGATGCTGGAGTGCTTTTCTCCTCAGGCTGTGCTGCCTAATCTACCAGGCATGAACAGCCAGTCTTACGTGCTGTCCAACAATAACACGCTTAACAGCACTACTGGCTCCCAGTCCAAAGGCAGTCTGCGCTCTAGACGCAAATCCTCAAATGTTAGTGAGAAGTCATCCAGTGAAAAATCAAACGCTACCGGTGTGGGATCTGCTTCATCCAAAAATGCGGCTCCTTTATCGCCTAAAACTGGACGCAGGGCCAGTAGTTTGGTGCGTACTACCGCACATTTCCCCTTCACTCTTTAAACAGCTAAATGTCAATCAACCCACTTGCTGATTTAGTCTCTCTATCCTCTTGTGCTTCTGAATGTGTTTGTTCACCCAGTATTGTAGACATGTTTTCAGCTGCTTCATCGCAACTTTCTGTGCCCATGTGTTTTCATTTCAAGTGACCCCATTTCTCTTCTGTCTACTGCACAGATTGGCAGAGTAATTTCACTATCCATAATAGCTGAAAAGAACTTTAATGGAAGAAAATAAGAAAAGATGGCATCTAGAGAATTTTAAGTAACCCTTACTCCCTCACCGTAACAGGAAAACTAACGCTTATTTTAGTATATGCGTAGTAAAAGAGTAATGCGATCGTAAGAGCAAGAGTAACTGTAATGCGATCGAGTACTAGACTTTTCCCGTTAAAAAAGTCTGATCACAGAAATTCGCACGTTAAAGTTTTACGTGTAAGCCCTTGCTTTGTTTTGAACCTTTTTTTTTATAGTCTTCATAATTTAATTAAATTACCGTTGGCGTAGAGGTAATATATCTGATTTGCGATAAATGGATGCTTCGAGTCCCAATTGCGCTTTTTTTCATGTCGGTATTTTATTAACGTAATCAACTTTTTTAAAATCTGTAATTAATTGACGTTGCTGTAATTAATCTATACTTAATTGAGCTATTTGGTCTAGTGTTAAAGTGCGTGCCTTGGAAACCTAAGATCGTGGGTTAGAGTCTACTGGAACTTGTTTTTCATATCGGGAATTTATATTTTTTTTTGGAAAATTTCATTTATCGTACTATCGGTAGTCGGGTTATTTTCCACAGCATGGACTTTGCTTGAATACTCAGTGAGTTTTCACTATTTTAGAGTGTCGTATCTTACTTCCATAACGATGCTCGTAATTGAAGACTTCGTATGATTTCCGTTTTTATTTTTTTTGCCAAAAAGTGTTTTGGGTTTTAATGGTTTCGACTTATGTTCTAACGGCTTAATTACCTCATAATAGCTCATTCAAAGAGCGAAATTATATGTTGAGACATTTTTGTGCTCGAGTGACTTTGGAGTCATAAAACTTTTTATAGCACAAAATAAAAAACAATTTCTGGCTCAACCGACGTCTACCAAGTATTATCTGCCTAGTTACCGCTTGGATACGCAATTGAGCTAGCTAGCATTGTCTTATTTTGAAAGTACTCATTTTGGTAGCACTCGCAAATGAAACAAGACTGCTCGTATCAGGGCGAAGCCCTGAATGTTGCGACAGCCTTTTAAAGTTTATGCAGCAGTAATAACATTTAAAAATGAATGTAATAAAACAAAATGAAAAAATTTGAACTTTTTTACGAAAATCATCCCCCCACACGCCATATAAAGTACAAAAGAATAGATTTAGCTGCTAGTAACAATCAATTATGGTAATTAAGCTTATTTCAACCAATTTGGAACGATTTCTAGAATGGATTAAATCTCTGGTCACGCGTTAATAGCGCGAAATATCAAGACTTACTTTGTCTTTTTTTCATTATTTTAATTTTTTGGTTTTTAGAGCTACTTTTGCGGTTTTCTCGCTTGCGTTTGCAAAGTTCAGTTTCGCCTCTGTGGTAATTTGTATCTCAGATTTCCTCGACCTGTTTTTGTTTTAAAGCGAACGACGTTAGCGATATACAATTGTAGATGAAAAGAAAGTATTTTTTCTGTTCACAGGCGTTTTTGACTTTTTCAACTGTCTGTTGCGCTCGTTTTTGACTTTTTCAACTGTTTGTTGCGCTGTTTTGTGCTTGGGTGGATTTTGGAGTCTGAAAACGTTTTGTATCACAAAAAAAAAGAGACTTTTTTGGCTCACCCGACGTCTAACGAAATTCGAAAATATAATTACTCATTTGGTATCATTTTGGCAAGTCATTGGCAGTTTAATAGCAGCAGTCTATAGGCTTTGTTAGTAACTTGTGTCTGCTTTTCTAAAAGAACCTGTTGAAGATGCAAAGAAGTTAAATCTCCAAGTTTGAATTTCGATGCCGGCACAGCAGTTTTTCTAGTTTTCAAGGCTTTATTTGTGATTTTTTTTTGGGTTTAAGAGCTACTTTTTTCTTGTTTTCAGGATTGTGTCTTAGTTGAGCTTCACTTCTGTAGTATTTTTTATCTCAGTGCTCAGTCAACGCTGAGAGTTACTTTTCTCAACCTGTTTCAAAGCGACTGAATTTTGCGACATACGTTTGTAGATGTTGTTTGTTTTTTACTTTTTTCGACTTTTTTTTTAGCTTTTCTATCCGCTACCTTGCAATGCTATATGCGTGATGTACCGTAAGTATTTAGGAGACCTAATTCGCCTGGTGTCAGCATTCAGTTCATATCGCAATATCTTAGCTCAGTTACTAAATGAGACAATCGACTTTATTTTGAGAAAGTCCAGCTTAAAAACCTTGTAAATGAAAAAAAGTCCTTTTTCCAGGTCACCAAGTTTTTTTACGGTGGTTATTTGTCGCTTCAAATGGTATTGTTTTTGTTCCAATCTGTTTCAGTTTTTTTTCTCAATTGCTCATTATAAGTTGGTTTGAAAAGTTTGAATAGTGATATAGTTAATATTGATTTCGGCAAAGCAGTATTTGTGTATACTCCTTTTAACTAGTTTTCTTACATAAAGGGCTGAATGGGTTTTGTGTTTCACTTGGATCTCAAGGAATAATTTTTTTTGACATGAAATTTCTGGTTAAGAGTAAGAGAACGTAGTTAAGATTCTTATGTAGAGTCTAGTGAGTTTTTTGGTTGTCTTACTTTTTGTTCACGCAAAATGAAAGTTTTACCTATTAATCCATTTTTCGCAAATTGCGTTTTCTCAAAAAAGTGTCAAGCATAAATTGTTCTGGAAATTCAAAGAGTTTTAAGGTCATATGTTTTTAATTTTCAAATTCAAGTCTGTTTTTCAAGAAACCATGTTATTCTTTTTTTCTGTTTCCGTGCGTTCTTTGACTATTTTCCCACTGTCTGTTGGCTGTTTGGCTATGTGTTTGCACAAATCACTGCGCTCGAAACATTCTTTGCTTGCACAGCAACCAGCTTTTCTTGATTTTTTTAGGTCGTGCAAATAAGATTTTGGTTGGGGTCAGCCGAAAAATAGGCCATTCAATAATGATCGTCTCTCTATAGAAAGCATATAAGCCTTTTGGTGGTTTATTGTGCCGTTGGTAACAAATTTTGTGTATCATTTTTTGTGAGAAAGCCCTCGTTTGATATGAAAATATATATTAATGAAACTGGGAGTTTCTAACCGAAATGACCGACATTATTTTCATTAAGTCCCGTCGTTTCTGTACATTGGTTGATTTTTTTTTGCAATATGGAGCAAATATTCATTATCAGATGCTTGCTTTCAAGGACCTGTACTTACTTTCTGGATTCTGGAATCACTTTCTACAAGTATGTCTAATTCATACTGTAAGTATCTCTAAAGTACCTTTTGTTGTCAAGTATCGTTGGAACATACTGTCGAATGAAGCTGCCGCTTAAAAGCCGATTGCGTAATGAAATAATCCGCTATTCAATGTAATTCAATCGATCGCCAGACTGATTGAAGCAGCCGTAGATAGCACATGGTATGTCTTGTGCTGTCCCAAACTAGCAAACAAATCGCTCTAAACCAACAAGAAAACATTCAGAGCTGCACCGCCCGAAGAACTGACTTGAACTGCTGTGTTCTCAGCTGAAAAGTAAACGCCAGTTTCTTTTAAAATATGCTCCAATCTTAAGCTTTTCTGCTACAGTTAGTTGTACAATCAGCCATTTTTATTTTCAAACGTGTTTTTGGTCGTATTTTTGCATATTGTTCGTTGATCTTATGTAATGTGATCTGCAGCTTAATGGTAGTCTGTTTTTCATTTAGCTCCAGCGCGTTAAATAAATGAAACTCAGCCTAAATCTTTATCCTATTTACTGAAGCTTCTAATTTCCTTGTTTATTTGCTCCTATTTGACCTGAAACAGAGTTATCCACTATTTCCTAGACGTAAGCTAATTTTTCTATTCAGCTAGCAATGTACAAAGGCATTACAAGTCTAGCTGGTAAATTGCTCAAAACCCTCTGAGTTTGAATTAGTTTTCCCGTATCTGCACCTGTTGCTAAGTTTACGTTTTCCTGAGATATTTTGCTTAGGAGTTTTTTCGGCCCCAACTGTCGGTTAATGACGTCAAAACCTTTGAAGCTAGATTTGACAGGCTGTCAAGAGTGAGAAAAATTCTTCCACGCTGTTTCCAACAGTGCCTTTTAAGTTTTGTATTAAACCGTTATAACTCGAACCCGTGCCCGGAAACTTTGGTTGTGTAGTAATGTATAAATACTATTTACAACTGATATATTTGAGGCGGCTCAACTTTGATTGTATTTTCCCCATTCATGTTCTCTTAGAGGTAGAAGGATCAACGAAATAGTACCATTGGCACTTAAGTTCGGAGGGCTTACCATTTAAAGAAGGCTTCTGGACATTGTTTGCGATAAATTTTGGTACCCTATATTACATAGCGTAGTTAGTTAGTGCAGTTGTAGCTGTGAAGGTACTTGTGTTTTGCTCTTCGCTTATGTGATTGTCAACGTCAAACCGATTAACCGTTGATTTCGCTCGCTTCCTGGTTGCGATACTAGGTGCTTCTTAACTTTATAGTAGACTTATTTATTAGGTAGTATAGGTTGTCTTCGAAAATTATTCTTTTCTACTGACATTTTTTAATGCTTGTCTGTTAGAAAAGACAGATTCATTTGTAAGATATGCGCTTATGTAAAGCGTGCTTCAAATAATAAGTCTGTCAGCTAACATATAAAGTATTAACAAATTTTTCATTACACAAAAATATTTGAAAAGCTTAATAAAAGCTTCGACTACTAAGATCTAGCT